AGATCATGCATTGACTCTGAGTATAAAAGGCGTACATGAGCCGGGCAGTAGTGGCTCACACCTTTAATCCCAGCACTTGAGAGAGGCAGGTGGATTTCTGAGTTCGAGGCCAGCCTGGTCTACAGAGTGAGTTCCATGACAGCCAGGGCTATACAGAGAAACCCTGTCTCAAAAAACAAAACAAACAAACAAAAACAAAAAAAGAAAAAAAAAGTCATACCTGAAACAATAGGAATCTAGGTCTCTGACCATTTTCTGAAGTGTAACCCTTCACCAGGTCTGGACAACATGCCATGATAATGTTACACAGGACACAAATTTCTGTCTCATTTCTGCTATTGTTATCCTGGGATTTTGATATGGTACCCGGAGCTAATGCAATCAGGACAGTTCAAACTACAGTTCTCAAACCGGAGGTGTGATTAGCAGAGTTGCAGCGTTTGTTTGTTTGTTGTTTGTATTAAAGCAGTTTGTGTGTTCAAAATTTTTTTTCCTAATACATTAAGGCATTCTTACTTTTTTCAGTACAGCATGCTGACTGACAGCGCAAAAGTAAGGATGTGCCTCCAGCTACAGAGGCTGAGGCAGGGTGCCCGGAGCCCAGGAATCTGAGCTCAACCTGAGAAACACAACTAGATAGAAGAGGGAGAAAGGGGGAGGAGAAAGGGAGAGAGAGGAGGGAAGAAGAGAGGGTGGAGTGGAAGTGGGGGGAGAGAAGGGAGAGAGGGAGGGAAGAAGTCAGAAGGAGGAGTGCAATGTGGAACAAGCCTAGATCCAAGCAGGGCCTAAGCAGACACTGCTCTCCACTGCCATGAGCTTATGGTTTGGACTCAAACATACAGTCAAATAAAAGGCCACTAATATCTACTCCCTCCTTCTGCAACCAGGAATCTGTGTGAGGTTTTATTTTCTCCAAGCTAAACAACATCCACCAGATCAAACCAGGTGAGAATCCAGCTGTTTCTAGTAACCCAGGCCTTAAAGACATTTGGAAAAACTGTAAAAACTCTTTTTTCCTCACTAGCTTTTGAAAAGTAATTCCCATAAAGTATGTATCATTTACGTAACCATGAGGTTGGTCTGTAGCTATGCTAAATGAATAAGTTATTTTTATAATATGTTAGTTGCATCTCTAACATGGTAGTACTTAAAAGCCATTTGGGGAACCTCAAAAGTTTGGAGAATAAAGGCATCTTGAAAACAAGACGCTTAAAAATCTTTGGTTTGTGATACTGAATTTAAGATATAACCACAAAGCTGTTCTCTTATGAAAACACACAAGCCGTTAAGCCCCAAAGTGGAAAAATAGCACAACACTAAGGAGATGGGGGAGGGGTGATGAGAATGGGCAGAGTTTCAAATCTGTAAATAAACAGCATTGGAGTGAGGCATCGGGGGAAATGGGCCCTTTACTATAGCCATTAGCTCCAACACACATGCTCTGAGAATAAGCCAAGAATATTTCTTGTCTTTACAAAAGGGTCTCACTATGTATTCCTGGCTGGCTTGAAACTAGATATGCAGACCATGGCTGGCCTTGAACTCTCAGAGCTCACCCCGGAGCCTCCCAAGTGCTATGATTAAGAGCATGCATCACCACCCCTGGCCCTTGCGATTGATTTTTAAATAGGGAATGCATGCACATACTGCATTTCTCATTAAGCATTCGATTACCTGTAATAAAAACAGTGGCCCAGAAAACTACCTGTAAAATAACCAGCCTTCCAGAAGCAAAATGTGTAAAGGTCAGAAGTGGCAGAGAATGTGAGACAGGAAAGGAGACGATCTGTTAGGATGGATACAGAGGTATCCAAAGGACTCTCTGAAGAGCCAGTCAGCACTCTAGTCCCAAAGGAGAAAATCAGAGTGAAGTGGGTGACTCATCACTCTTCAGACTGAGCACCTAGCAAAGGCCAGGCTCCATTCAGAGCCCTGGAGCCAGTGAGCCATCTCTTCCTCAGAGTGACATTTAAAACCCGGGTCATCTTTTTCTTTTGAAATGTGGGCTCTTTCTCTCAGTCAACGTAGAAGAAGGAACAGTCAAAAGTGTTAGTGAAATAAACTACTTAACTTTCATTTATTCTTCCCCCTACCCCCCAACTAGGAATGGAAAAGAAAAGAGAGATGGCTTGATTGGCATATGTTTAAAGTCACAGCATGGAACATAAAATGTATCCTAAAAACTACTTCTGTTGTCCTGAGGGTCAGGAAAAGAAAACAAGGAAGAGGAGAAAAGCACAGGAGACATAGAAAAATGGGATCTGAGGAACTGACAGAACAAAGAAGAGTGATGCTACCGGAACTTTCTGATCAGTGTGGAAGTGATGGTACCAGAACTTCCTGGTCAGTGTGGAAGTGATGCTACCGGAACTTCCTGGTCTGTGTGGAAGTGATGCTACTGGAACTTCCTGGTCAGTGTGGAAGTGATGCTACCGGAACTTCCTGGTCAGTGTGCAAGAAGGTCCTTATTCCTAAGGTACCTCCCAGCTCGGTTTTTGCTATTTTTGCATTAGCAGCCTTTTAAAGCCCATTTCTGTGTAGTGCTTTGTGAATGCTGAACACTACGTATATGTACAGTTTGCACACTATTAGCAAATGCCTGGTCAACTGAATTTTACAATCTCACATATTTACTTAATCCAACTACTCTAGAGGGTCCTCTCCTCACCTCCTCTCCCATCTCATGTTTCTTTCACTTAAAAGGAAGTTCTTGTAATTACGGGAAAGTGGCGTATCTCAAGGCAGTGAGGTGAGCAGCTCACTCATCTTCATACCTCAGCTTGTGGAACCTGTCAGTGGCATCCATGCTCAGAGCAATGAGCTCCCACACAAACACCAAGGTGAGACAAGAGTCTCTATCATCAGGAAACACCACCCCACCCCACCTTCCCAACCCCTCCATCCCCCACATTCATCCCCCAAAGTCCTGACACCTCAAAAGAAAACATTGTCTGTGCCTGTCTTGATCACTACTCCATTGCTAAAGCAAACAAACCACCAAAAAGCCAAGCCCCCGGCCCAACGACCCTAATTCTGTTCTCAGTCCTAATTAATAGACCAGCAGCACAGATTGCTTTGTTAAACACAAGTGACTGCCATGTGGTCATGAACACACGACAAACCCAGTTCCTGACTTGACTGACAGGTTAGCTACAGACTTTCTGAATCCCAGGATCATGTCGCCACGCTTTTGGGACTCTGCTATCCATTTAACATCCGATGTGTATTCATCTTAACACTTGTGTGTGGATGTTTAGGGTTAGTCCAGACATACTGAGTGTGAAATTAAGAGGAAAACATTCACAACGCACCCAAGGGGAAATATTATTTCATACGTCTGAGATTAGTGCAACATCAGTTTCCTAGAATCTAGCACATTTGTCTGCACTGGGCATGCTCGCTTCCTCGAGTCTTCCCTGACAATCCCATTTAAGATCAGTGACATTTTCTAATCCCTTGATCATGTAATTTATCAACCATAACACTGAAATAAAAACATTTTATGTATGCATTTATTCCTGTATTCTTCCCCCCCACACACACCTTTGTTCCCGGTAGAATAATCTTCATGAAGTTGGAGATACTAAGCCTGATGGTACATACCTCTAACTCCAGCACTCAAAAACAGAGATAAAAGAAATGCCCTAAAGTTGATAGCGGCGTGGTGAGACTTTGTGTCAACAAAAGAAAAGGAAAAAAACAAAAACACCTCACAAACAAACAATTGGTATTGGCGCCATGGACAGACCCTAAGCTGTATGTAACCAAACTCACAGAATTTACCAAGCAGAGCTTGAGATTTCAAATAAGAACTGTTAGGTTATACACGAGAAAAAAAAATTTTTTTTAAATTGTAAAAATAATTTGAATTTCTTTGTTAAAACATCAGCTCAGCTAGCACAAAGTTCATGAAAATGCTGTCCTATCGAATAAGATCACATGCTGTATACATGGACACAACTAATTCAAGCCCATTGTAATGGGCCTAGGTAATTGTAAAGCCCAGGTAATGGGCCACCTGCACCAACAGTGCAGTTGGGGTTAACTGTGGTAATATGTGTGAAACACTGCAGCACACAGCAACAAGGCAGTGCTAATAAAAAGGGAGATAATGGTGGCGTTACTGCCACGTTACTGCCACCACCGCCACATTAGAGTCCAAAACACACTTCCTATCATTTCAAGTAATTCACGGTAAGAAGGGAATCCACTTTCTAAGTCTACAAAACCTGGGGGGAGGGGAGGAGCAAATTAAGTAATCATTCCCAGAAGCCAGAGCACCTCAAAAGAGGTGGGGATAAAAATCCGTAATTCTATTTGCCAGGCACTTCATTACAGAACAATAAAAATGTCCATAAATAAAGTAGAATTCTAAAACTAGGCAGAATTACTCCAAGACAGTTTAGACAAACTTTCGGTGTAAGACAGACACTTCTATTGTCTTTTGTTAGCTGCTGGGAAAGGAAGGGTCCGTTTTCTCTAAGAGTGTAGCCAGCCCCTGACATGCCAGCCACACTCCAGTGGAAGGCCACTCACCACAACTTGGCCTTGGGGGTGGGGGTGAGGTGGGGGCTCAAAGTCAGATGTGAAAAGAACCTGGGAAGAGTTAGTGGAGGGAGTGGAATAAGATCAAAACACACTAAATTTTAAAACCCTACTGCTGCTTTCACAATGTCCTGCCTGGAGAAAAGGCCTGAAGTGAACTGAACGGTCTGAGAGGTCTGACACCGCTGGGGCTGGCAGCGCCTGGCACTGTGACCTAGCGCTCACTCACAGCTGTTTGATGGAATCATTTCTTTCTCACACTCCACGGGGTTTCTGTCAATGGGAGGTCTAAGGGGAGGGTGTGGGAAACTGTTCCAAGTGCTGTCTCAACTATATCACAGCCACATCAAAACAAACCTGCATTTATTAATCCTGTTCCCTCCTGTCATAGAATAATAACCCAGGCCCTCCGAGATTGATAAGAAAACCAAATTTTAAAATCAAAACCACATTCCAAGTGTCTTAAAAGATATTTTTTGTTCAATTCTTTTCGTAAAAACATTGGTCACTATGTAACATACAGAGGCCACAAAATGCACCCGGTATACATGCATCAACAAGTCAATAAATCATAATACACAAACAACATGGGTTCTGACCAGTACTACAGCAGCTCATGATACAGTTTGTGGTAGCTCTAATGCTGACAGAAAACAGCTGCTATGAGAACAGGGCAGTCCAGTTTCAGCTGGCGTCAGATTCTCTGTGGTGAAAACCGCTGAACATGGATCTTACGGAGTCATTAACTTAAAGGGAGCCACCTTCAGAAATCACACTGTGCAAAGTACCATGTCAGGTCAGAGCTGGCGTTTGAGATACCTTTGGTTGAACACAGAGAGACTTAATTTTGTTTGTCTGTTTTTGAAACTTATTGTAATGATTCAAAGAATTTTATTGATTAAATATGATTCAAAAATTATGATTGAAAATTAGAACGTCTTTCATATGAAAGTTACACCTTCCACAGCTGAAGTTTTTAACGAAACTGGCATAATTCTGTTAACAGAAATTCTGGTAGTAAGGACTAGGAGGTTTTTCAAGAGAAAGAAAAAGGAAATCAACAATCAGAAGTGCTTTCTAAGCTCCAAGACAAGTTTCTTGGTATTTAATAAGAAGAAAAGTTAAGCACCACAATACAAAACTTAAAAATAAAGACAAGAAAAGCCACTAATGCACAAGGTAAGGAAAACAACATTAACACGTTTACACAGAAAATAAAATATGCATTGTATCCTATCGTCCTGGAACCCTGTGCTTGCTGTCCGTATGACATGAGGACAAAGATACAAAAGATGAATATGTCTGCCACCTCACGTCACGTGATGCTAAATTGATCGAGGAGAATGTTACTTGTGTATATGAGAAGTTGATGTTTTTAAATTTTTAGGCTATTTTTCCTTAAATTCTATGATAAATGAACAGGACTAAATCATCCCAAAGTGCAAAAGAAATGATATGTGACATGCTTTCCTGCGAAAAAGAATTCCTCTTTAAAAGGAGCCCAAAGTAATTGTGTGCAAACAGAACTCCTAAATAAGATTTAGAAAGCGTAGTCATGTGAAGCTTGTCCTTTCCATTCACTGAGCAAACAGAAGTAACTTTAATTCCCCAAGGGTTAAAGTCTAACTCCAGTTTCTCTCTTCCATATGTTCAATTGTTCAATTGTTACTCATGTAACACTTTTACATGTGTACCAGAGCAAATGAGAAAAGGGGGTTCAAACACTAAACCTCAGGATTCTCAGGACCGTGTGTACGTCAGACATACAACTCAGACGCAAGCAGCTCTCGCCAACCATGTGTTCTAATGACCACAAAAGGAAAAAGCCCAAAAACGAGAGAAAGGGTCTCTCCTTGTGTTAGATTTGCCCAGACTAGACAGCAAATAGAAATGCACGCTGTTTCTAAAATACTCATCCAGAAAAAAGTCACAAAGCAAGACCTAATGAGATTAGGATTCTGAGCACGGGATATTTAGACTCATTCCATTCCATGAGACAATAACACTTTCGGGGAAAAAAAAATCTTTCCCAAATAATAGAACTGGTGTTTCATGAACCTTCCAAATACCACTTGAACTTTGTCATCCACTCTATAGACCTCTTTGAAAATTTCTACTTTCTATTTCTATAAAAAAAAAAATTAGCCTAATTTCAAAATGTCATTATAAATTTCTTAGTTCACCCTACTCTCTTAACCCCTATTTTAAAAGCCAGGAAGTGTCCAAGCACTGCCTTTCTCTCACAAACCAGAAATCACCGTGTGATTGTTCAAAGTTGGGAAACTAAAGGTAAAAAGCCAATCAGAAATAAGTACACTTGTTAGCATGTATGGTTCATGTAAAAGAGAGGCCAGAGAATTGTTCTTTCTGATTAACCTCTGGCACTTAAGACAGCGTGGCTCAAAATTACAATGAATCAGATATACTTAAAACACTGCCTCATTTTAGATAGATGTGAAAGTTTAAAAATTGAATGAATTTATATGATTGTAAATGTTTACTGTGAAATAACACAGAAGACATGCCCCCAGGCAGGGAATTAAAATTTTAACTGATATTAAACATCTTTAATAATTTGGAGAAATCTCAGCATTGAATTATAACCATCAGGAAAAAAAATAAAAACATAAATAGGTATTCCCGTGCATGTTATATAACAAATAAGCAAACTCCAGGTCAGTACAGTACAGTCAATGACTGAAAGTTAAATAATATCTTGATACATAGAAGGAAAAGGTAACATGTTGACTGCCATTGATGAAAAGCATCTCAACAATTTACATAAAATGATACTAAATAGTTTTTAAAAAGATGTCTTAAGAAGGCCAAGCCACAATAAGTTAGTGTTTCCATAATACATGCTGAATTATTTGATCCCGTATCTATACACTGTTACTGTCCTCACTGCTAAATGTTGTGACAGTATATTTAATGACTGAGGTACATTAGTTTACATCTTTTTATAGGTGTTCTAAGATGATTAATTTGTTGTTTCCAGTTTTTCATCCTCTTCTCCTCCTCCAAAGAAAATCAAAGGGAACATTCCTAGAATGCAGCCGATAGTCACCCCAACAGCCTTGCCCTGAGGAAACAGAAGAGAGTAATTCTTAAAGTTACATGTCCTGAAAAGAGGTGTCCTTGCTTAACCATTGATGACAACAGTCCATTGTCACACACTATGAAATTCCCACTACAACTGTATTCCTGTCAATTATAGAAACCTATGTATTAAAATAAGTTACCAAACACTCAAGAACATGCCATTTTAAAATCCAAAGGAACAGGGGAAAAACTCATCAATATGATATCAAAGAAATATTCAAGTACAAAATATTTTTCAAATCATATGTGTTTCTTAATATCAGAAGACTGGAACACAGAAGGGGGAAATGTAGCAGCTATTCTCAGTGTATCTGAACTTGATACCCTTGTATCCTGTCCTTCAGTACTTAGCCCCATGTGTACTGAGTTATACTAGACACAACCATTATAGAAACAGTGTTTCTCTCTGCTTCTATGCCCTGTACACCATGTTTTATAATCAGTTTCCAAGCTGCTGTATATGTTCTGAATAGTGGGTTCTTGACTCCTGAAAGCTTTTCCAACCATAAGGAACCTACTGCTACATTCCCACAATTGAGACACGACACTGAAGGGCTCTATGTACTTGTGATTTAAAAATTAAATGTTAATATTTGTGCATCTTCATAGACTATGGCATTGAGTCTTTCACACTTGACAAAACTACAAATGCACATATGCCAATTTTAATCATGCATGTGTATGTATATATCACAAGAATTTTTCCATCTACACTGTGAAAAGTTTTAAATTTTTACTTCTATAAATGACTCCAAATTTTACATTCCTGATGACTATCAAATTTAAGCTTTCCAATTAAGTTTTCTTTCTTAAAAATACCTATTTTATTATTTTCAACTATTTGTGTGCACGTATGTGTTTTTGTGTGTGGATATGTGCATGTGAGTAGCAGATGCCCACAGAGACCAAAAGAGGATATTGGATACCCTAGAAGTAGAGTCCTCTAGAAGAACAGTATACATTCCTAATGGATGAGCCATCTCTTCAGCCCCTCAGTTAAGTTTTCTTCTTTCATACAAACAGTTACTGAGATTCTATTGTATACTAAACTCTGTGCTGGTTAAACCTGAGACAGGGACCAATTACACATAGTTAGTTGATCTTTCCTCCTGGAGCTTCTAGTTAAGAAAACAGAGAAACAACATAAGTCCCATCTGACATTACAGAAGCTCTGCTAACTACATAACCTGCAGCACTGAAGGAAATGTTTTCTCTCGGACAGTAGCCAGTTAGCAATCAGAGTATCAGTAATAACTTTCCAAGTAGACATCAACACTTTGACAATACTGTATACAACACTTTTTCAGTCTGTTACTACAGCATTTTGTTGTTTGCTGTGGTGGTATGCCTTTGCTTTATATTAATAGTCAAATCTGTCAATCTCATTATATGAATATTTTTAAAGAAACTACAGTTTCAGAGGTATAAAAAAATTTTGTTCTGTCCAGATACTAATAAAGTTAATCTTAAATTCTTATTTTGATCTAAATATTTTGATCATTTATATTTCAACAGAGAGAGACTATTATTTGACTCCTGACTTGCCTAGGATATGACCATTGCTAAGAGACCCCCAACCACCCACCCATTCTGTTAAAATGTCTTTCACTATCACCCAGGGTGACCAAGGGTCCCCTCTCGCTCCCCTTAGAAATGCTAGACCGGGGTGATCCTCGGCACCCTTAACATTGCTGTCCATTACTAGCTGACCTTTCCTCCCCTATCAGTGCACAGACCTGCTCAGAAACGACCACCAGTGGACAACTACAGTATAAACGGGAATCAGTTCCAGAATGAACAAAGGATCACAAAACCTTTGGGTGCTCAAGACCTTCGTATTAACCAAGCTACACAACATTTTTAAAAAATCAATCATGCTTATAAAAAGATAAAGGGAAAACAAATTATTTTTCTGAGAACGTCCAAGGCCTAGGTAACACTCAAATCAATTACAGTCTCAAAACTGCCATGCTGACCACTAGGTTCTTGTTTATAAGCCATATAACTTACCAAATGTGTGCTAACACGTGTTTGCCACATGTCAACTTGCTTTGGTGTAAGATCAGGAATTGAGAGGCCTAACCTGGATGCCAAGGCCTCAACATAACCTGCAAGGCTTTAAGAGAACAAGAAATCAAGAGAGTTTAAAAGACATGCAAATGTCTGCACAAAGTAAAAACCAATCACTGCAAAGAGAAATGAGAGTCTGTCCTGTGCTCACTCTGGACAGCAAAAAATTACAACTTCCATTTTATTATGTAAAGATAACCCTGGCTTAAAATACTTTCAAATTCACATTTAATACACAGTGACTACAGCATTTAATCTTTATCATTACCTTTAAGAGAGCAATCATGGTACATGAGATAGATGATAGATACATGGATGGATGGATGGATGGATGGATGATGGATGGATGGATGGATAGATAAAGATATATCACTAAAATTGCTGCACTCTGAACTCAAAGCAAAGTATTTGAAAATATGATTTAATTTGATAACTATGACCAGAAAGTAACAGTTTTTTTTAATTCAACAGACTAATGTACTTAAGAATGACAGCCTAGGACTTTTAGCCTAGCAGGGGATGTGATCAATTCTAAGTTAGCATTAATCTTGTTCTAAGTACTATCAGAAAGAAACAGGCTTGTCAATTATATACACCGACAATCATAAGATACATTCTGGCTTCAGACATTTTCAAAGTGTGCATCTAAGAACACATATAAAGTGATACCTAAGAGAGAAAGAAAACTCAAAGGAGAAATAGTTCTTGGCCACAGAAGCTCTTCATAAAAGTCTTTAGACCTCAATCTAAAACTAAGTGGCTTTAAATCTATCAGTTCGTTCCATTAAGACATCAGATATCTATATAGAAGCTATAGTACTGTCAATATTAAGCCTAAAGTTTGGATATGGGACATGAAATGTCAAAGTGTCTGTATCAAGATAAAATTTATGTCAAGAATTCCAGGAATGTAAAATCCTTAACATGGACCTACAGGAAAACAAAATAAAACAAAACAAAACAGGAAAAAAACTTAAAATTAGCTTTGGCCTCAAATTCAAATGCAGATGTCTAATATTAAGGGTCAGATCACTTATAAAACTGTCTCTGCCTAGATTATGAGCTGAAATTGATTCCTACAAGATATAAATCTCACAATATACCACTCGAGTAGCCAAGAGAGGAAGACACTGTCAATGACAAAGTGAGAGAGAGAGAGAGAGAGAGAGACAGAGAGAGAGAGAGAGAGATATGCTTGCCCTAATACTGAATGCCAACTTCTCAGCTTTCCCAGCCCAGGAAGCAGCCCAGGCCATCTGCCACCTTGAAGAAAGTGAGAAAGCTGGCTTTTCAGGCAGCCATCCTCCATTTGTGTTATCATTCCTGCCATACCAAAGAGAGAGAGAGAAATGGCCAAGTACACATTTGCTCTGTAGGTTGGGGGTGGCTCAGAAGTGGGGTGCACCCTTAGCCTAAGTACATAAGACCCTATGTTCACTCTCTTACCATCAGAGAAGGGGTGGGGCTGGGGCTTGGACATTATTTCCTTTGCAGGTCAGTATCCTCAAATTTGGGTCATGTCTCTTTATCTTTGGGCTTTTTTCCAAGTAAAAGGAAGCAAAAAATGGCAGGGGTTTTCTTTTTTAGATGTCCACGAAATATATCTTTTATAAATAGAAATTCTATTTTGCTTATATAGTGACATAGGTTTGATCTATTCTTGGAACCACTATTCAGTTTTATTGGCACACTGTCCCAACAACTATATTTAATGTCCACCAAATATTTAGTACTACTGATTTAGAAATATTAAACTTAAATTTTAAGTTTCAGAACCCAAAGGAAAATAACTGTCCTTTTTAAAGGCTTGTTAGAGAATAATAAAGACAAGAACGCGTAAGTACATAACTGCAGAAATGAATCATGAATGAACCTACCCAAGTCCAGCTAAGTCTGAAACAAGATTTCCCAAAGCAGCAGCTGGAAATTTGAAAAACACACAATGAATTATCAAAACCAAGCCAGCAAAGGTCACAGTATTACATCACGTGAGAGGCACTGAGCTCTGGTCTTCTGGACCCAACCTATTTCTCAGCTGTAACAACTACATTCAAAGCGGCTTAGGGATAGCTCTAAGTGCCAAGAGTTTAAAATGGAGCATAATCCTAAAATTATAATATTCTACCTCCATTGATAGAGTGTTTACATATTATAGCAGAAATTTTCTATTCTTATTCAATATTAAAATTTCAGAGTTTTGTCTTTAATATGAAATTTATCTTTTGGGAAATTTGAATATTGTAAGCTCAAGGACAAAGCTAAGTTAGCAAGCCCAATTCAAGAAAGTAAAGAAAGGAAAATACTTCTTTTAATTTTTTTTTCTACTCAACTTGAAAATAATTAATTTAATAGTGACAAAGGTTAAAAAGATTTAGTGGTAATACTGAATTATGAGAAAAAATTGCCTTAACATAGACAATGTAGTTAAGTTCTGTTACCCACTAACTAACAAAATTACTTATAATTTCTCAGGGGGAAAATATATATACAGAAAGCTAAGGACCAGAAGATTAACATTAAAGATATCTAAACAAAAAAAAAAAACCATCTCATGAGCAAATTCATTTAAAATAAATTACTGTCTTCTAAATCTAACTTACTTACATTTTTAAACAATATGCAGACAATAGAATTTTAACATTTACTATTATTAAATACCTGCCATTGTAGAAATTCCCAAAATAATTCCAATAGACAATTCAATTTGAGTTCCCTGAAAAGTGATTGGGAAAAAAAATTAAAGCTGACATGTCTATAAAAGAATATCAACACACTAATAAAAACAGTCTTTGTAGTCAATATGCTGCTACCACACAATTACACCCAAAAATAAGCATAAATGTCCACAGTATGAGATGATTCACTTAAATTTCTCCATATATTCTATGTTAATTCTATATTTATATATCTTTATATACTTATTATATATATTCTATATTTTAATTCTATGTATACATATACACTCATGACAAAATAACCAATCACATTTCATCCATTAAAATTAAGTCTTTCTAAAAATAAATAGCAACACATGTAGAAATCAATTCATCACTAATAGTTTGATTTCTAGATTCTTAATTTTACTTTTCTATCTCCCAGAAATACATTTTAAAGCTCTCTGAACACAAGGATGGATACATAGATGCTAAAATCTGTAACATATTTTTCTATTGCTTACTCTATCAAAAGATTTGAAAGACTAAATGATTTTCTAAGAAAACTGCCATTAGAAAGATTTTCCTCAACACCTTTGGTTCCTTAACCATTAAACAACATGGCTGGGATTCGTGTGTTTACGTGGGGACAATGTTAACTGTCAACAGTACTGATAGATGTGCAGTAATGAGACCTGAGGAATGAGTAATGAGTAATGAGGACCCACTGGAAGTCCCCACATTTCCATTCCCCTTGGGCAAAGAGGAGGAGCTCAGGTTCCCACCCACTTAACAGAGGTGGCACTGAGGTGACAGGGATGCATGACTCCCGGGCTGTCAAACAAAAGATCCTAGGTCTATTTTGCTATTTCAGTTCCAATCCTTGACGAAGGTAAACTTAGTTTTCACGGACTCCCCAGAAGACTCTTAAGAGGTTGTCTAGTGTACTACACACACTCAGTGTCATCAGTCAGTCCAGGGCCTAAAGGCTGGATCAGGACACTTTCCTCTCTTCTCCTGTCCCCCGCTCTCAGTCCTACCCCTTGAAGACATAATTCTTGCTGAATATGACCAAACAGCCTGATGCACCACTCTCCTAGACACATAAAATTATTAACTTCTGGTGGCACCTAAAATAGCAGATTTCTGAGGAAAATAAAACAGACAGAAAAATAGCAAAGAGATATATTTTTCTTATATAAACGCGAAGATGGCAGAGCACCACTACAGAGCTGTGTGTGTGTGTAACTCATAAATGTGACAGCACACTTAACAGCAGTGAGTCATTGTCAATGACCCAAGAAGAACCTTTGAAGGCATTTGTGTGAGCTGAAGAAGTAGCTCTGTGCGCAGAGTATCTGCCAGCATGCACGAGGGTCCACGCTTGGTCCTATCACTCCCCACGCTGTTATTTAACAGTAAGAAGCAAGAAGCAGGGCTGGAGAGACAGCAAGCACGTGGAGGCTCACACAATCTGTAGCTGGATCCAATGGCTTTATCTGCCATGTCAGCGACAGTGTGCTCGTATACACAAAGTAAATAAATAAATCTTAAGAAGAATTAAAAAGAAAGAAACAAGAAGGGTTTGCATGCTTTATCGCTTGTGGAACAATTCCCTAAATTTATTTATAATAAAATATTATCTTTATTTTGTTCTGTGTTCTGAAAACGTTTAATAGATGAGATGGGAATTACAAATAAATCTACACCGGTTATCAAAGTTAAACTTTGTTTACCACCTTAATTACTCATACCTTACAATTAACCTATTCTTAAAATTTCTATCCTAATTGAATTGTAAAACAAATCTATTCCCAAAATGACTAAAATATAAATTACAAAAAGCAGTCCAGTAATATACAATTATAATAATATATAATTATATATAACCTAAGAATTTTGGTTGAATATTATTACTAGCAGCCAATAATAAAGGTCTACTTTACTCTATTATAGGTGACTATAGAGAAATTTGACGACAAAGCCAGGAAGACACATCTAAGAGAAGGAGGAGGGTAAGTTTATAACAGGATAGGGCAGAAGACTCCATAACTCTTCCTGTCTGAAACACTCACATGTGCTCCACATTGAGAAAAGATTATCTGTGCTTTAAAACATGGTAAAGGGCAAACACAAACCAAACAGAAAAGACACACTGGAAGCCGGCAATGCTTTCTTGGTTCCTTCTGAGACTCTCCCATTGTTAGCCATCTGTGTTCATCTAGAGTCAAATAAGACACCTCACTGGAGCATGTCGCCCTCTCAGAAACAGCCCTCAATTACAGAGACAGTATTTTTGTCAAAACCTTCATTGGGTGTTGAAGTCAGTGATTTAAAACACTTATTTCAGTAAAACCTGGGGTGTGTCCTTGAAGATGAATTCTATGTAAACAGGTTACTGGTGACCTAGATTAAGAATCTCAGGCCTGGAAAAACATTCTACTCTGATATGTTAGGGATGAGGTGCAGCCCCGAGGAACACAAAATAACAAACAATACTGAAGTGACTGGAGTCTCTGGTCTTTGTTGCTGGGTTTGGTCTGGCCCCATGAATAGCTCCATCTGCACACAGACACTCTTCAGCTTTTCATAAGATACTGCACAGGGTCTGATTAGAGATCTAACAAGCTATTGCCTTCCATTCTCCTCTCTCTCTTCAAACTACCACTACAGACTCCCCTTTATCCAAAATGTATCTTCTCCACAAGTGCTCACAGCCAAGGACAATATTTCAGCATCTGAGTCTTTAAGGTGTGCCTTATTAAGGAAATGTATTACAATGGTGGCTCCGAGCACCATAATGTTGGGGAACTGAAATATTTAGATGCTCTCCATCAGACAACCTGCTCACGGGTACACAATCAACTACAGCCTATAAACTCAACACAAAGGAGCCTTTATTACAAGTATATGCTTTGCATTAACAAGAGTAATTTAGACAACTCAATGTTAGTAGCCTGAGAAAAGCAGTGTGGTTCTAAATAATTAAATACTCAGCTGACATCTGTATATACACTGATCCATTTTATTCTTATATGTGTACTAGGAAAATAATCCTAAAAATGGCCATTCTAGAATTGTATTTTAGGCCCGCTCAGTTAACCTGTTTCAACCTTTGGAAGACTGGTCTTGCCGCAGCATGCTACCAAGAAACCCTGCAGAGGTGCTTATGATCCCAAGCTATGCACAGGCCAGAGTATTGTGACTGCTGGTTGCAGCTGTCACCATGCTGCTGTAACCCCTGCACCTCTCTTGAACCAAAGGGACAACTGGACCTTCTGGAAACCAGATCCTCATTACTGTGGATGCAAAGCTAGACCCTGTGGCAACCACACCATCTCAGATGAACTGATTTTACATTTTAAACAACGCTTGTAGCCTATAAAACAATTATGTGAGTAATTTTTTAAATTTTCTATTTTATAACTAAATCTATTTATCTTCATTTGTAGTACAGGTGAATTCTAAAACTCCAAAAATAAACACTATCATCTCATCTCCCTTCTCACCATCACCCACCCTTCTCCTCTCTCTCACCATCTTTCTGGGTAGTTTCCTCAATAATAGTTCATAGAAAATTGTGGAGCCCACAATAAATTCTCAGCGTTCTAACTCAAAGAAGCATTGTTTTTCAAGTGAGTCTCAGTAAAAAGCTCTCCTTAGGACTTCAAACCGGTAGATAGAAAGAAGTAAGTAATTTATACTTTTTTCTCTTCCAAAGATTTAGATAACCTATTTACTGCTAATATCCAAAATAGTTTACTCTATAAAGCATTCTAGAAGTACGGCTAGAAGGGGAACTTTTTTATAATACTACACAACACAACAAAGGCAGGAGATGTTGCAAAGTGAATCTTAAGACAACTTAGGATTAAATGCTGAGACTAAAGCCTTGACTATGCCCCCAAACACCTAAGATATTCTAGAATGAGAAAACTCAACAAGGAACTAATCAAATACTCTCTATATGTGGAAACAAGTATCAACAGAACTAAGAACCCCAGATATGTTACACACATTTCATTTACTCTTTAAGAAAAATGTTAGAAGAGAGTTATATAAGCCATAAATGTTTATCTATAACCTTGCCTAAAGTTTCATGATTAATATAATGATGCTTTAAAATTGAACTTGCTCACTGTTAATTAACTTGACAGACATAATATATAAGTTAGTATGAAAATGTAGAGCACACTAATTTCTTTACTCAAAATACAAGTGGTGAGGACTTACTGCAACAATCATAATTGCATTATCCAAAAAGCCAAACCCCACGAAAGGTATCGCATTGTGGAAGAATACTGAAAAACATCAAAACACAGAAAAATATATTTTAATTTCTTGACAACTTTAGAATGAACAAAACAGGCCATGCAATTAAAGAGCTAAGAAAGATCAGAGCTCCTGTTGCTGCTGTAACTGTATCTGACAGAAGTTATGCTGGGAAACAAAACACAAATATGTAACACATAAAAATAATTCTTAAGCCTTTATGTTTTCTTACCGGCAATGTACAGATATACAATTCATGGAAGAGAAAATCTGTAAACATGTGATGACACCACTTAACCTGACACATGCCAGTCTATTCCTCTCTTGTGCCTAAGGACTATCGCAAAACTAATAATCTCTGTATTTGTAATAATTTTTTAAAACGCCTAAACTCAAATTCCAGGGAAGTTATTTAACTGTTTTCACTCCCTCATCTTCATCTCACAGCCATGCGCACTCTTTAATCTCAGAACCTGTCAGGATTTCCAAATGCTACTGAAACTGTAAGAGTAAGTATTGGCTCGACTTCAAAATGTGGCTTGAAGGCTTCTTACCGCCAAAGACACTTCTCATGTCATCTATCTGGTACATAACCTGAAACCTGGATATTTAAACGTCAAAGTAGTAAAAACATATTTTATAATTCCTCTTCATTTTCTCAAATTTGTGTCTTTAGCACGCTATACAGTACTGAGGACACAGCAGATGCTCAAAAATAATTACTTACATTACTAACCTGGAAAAGAAGCTAACTTCATATCTGGACAACTGGAGGAGGCCGTGAAACAGACTAAAGCTGGGAACAGGAAAAGACTGTTCTAACTGATCTTTACAGCTGCTAAGGCATAGACAATGTCAGATCAACTGACAACTTTTTTCAATAAACATCAAGAATCTGAGCTTTTGGGCTGGGGAGATGGCTCAGTGGTTAAGAGCACTGACTGCACTTCCAGAGGTCCTGAGTTCAAATCCCAGCAACCACATGGTGGCTCACAACCATCTGTAATGAGATCTGATGCCCTCTTCTGGTGTGTCTGAAGACAGCTACAGTGTATTCATATATAATAAATAAATAAATCTTTAAAAAAAAAAAAAAAAAGAATCTGAGCTTTATACTGTATTTAAAAATAGTTCTCCCTTAGGCCAGTTTGTTATACTTGCTGACTTTAGATTCACTTTTCTTTTAATGCAGCTAAATATACGATGTAATTAAAGTATCATCCAGAAGTTATGAAAACATGATACTGCTGTGGTGAGCTCTACAATCCGGAAATGCTACGTACGAGGCAGGAATTTTAAAAAATAAACACTTCTACCCACAACTACTCTCAAAAAAAATGTCACACTCAGCATAGTAACATACACCATCATATATATATATAATACATCAATAGTACACAATAGACATAACCAGTCATTTCAGTGTCACTTGTCACGGTAACAATGTTCATGGGGGGAGAGCAGAGTAATCCACTGTGATTATCACTGCAAATGCTGTCACGATGGTAAAAGTCAACCATGACATGGGATTCAAGCTCAAGAACCCAGCCTTACTTCTCTGGTTTTTCTCCTACATCCATTGGATGCCTACTGACTTTTTATAGTAAGCAGCTTCCAAAGTATGCACACACAATCCTAACTTCCAACCACAATAGACACTTAATAGGCACCCTTCTCTGTGGTCTCTGAAACACAAATATGGCATAATAACAAGGAAATCAGCTAAGAGCACTCAGTATTTATTTGAATAATAAATGGCATCTCAATAAGATGTTAATGGCATTAAATTAAGATTACACAGTTTATCCAGTTTATCCTGGGAGAAGCCTGGTCCATATCACTAAGGCTGCCATACTAACCAGCTTGAACTATGAAGTACGTCTTTATCTTTATATTTAAATAAATCTGTCAAATAAATAAAAAACTACTTTTAATTCAAAATAGAAAAATTAAGTTTCTCAAAAAAAAAAAAAAAAAAGTACTGGGCACCTCACTGGGAACTTGAGATACAAAGACACATAAAACTTGGTTTCCACCTCGCAAAGGATTTAGACAAAGAAACCAATCCACATAAACAGTTCATTTCAACACCACCTACAAAAAACGAGAATAGTATTCTATGTACTATAAATACAGAATTAGGAATCTGGGCTCGGAGAATCAGGAAAGATTACCTGGGAAGAGAGATCTTAAAGAATTCTTAAACTGTTTTGGTGTTTGAGGAAAGTTACTAATGTCTAACATAAATTATATTCTACCTAAGAGAGAGGAAAAAAAAGAACTGTCATTAGTTTTTTCCTAGTCGTTTGAATTTGCCTTCCAATGAATAATGACCTCCTACTAATTCACTATTTCTTCAATTCCCTTTGGCAAACACTATTCTATAGCTAAGCAGCTCTTAGCTGATGACATTTAATATTTAATTACCTACTTAATTACCACCTACTCAAATTCACCGCCACACTTTTAAGTGATTCTCCTCCACTGTCTTTTAATAAGACCCTAAACTGTTTTACATCACTCCCAAGTTAACCTGCAATATTCATTCTTATCAGAGAAGAAAGAACAGTACAGCTCAGTAATGAGGTCCTTCATCCTCAAATGAGCCGCACTTACTTTCTTACTGCTGTGACCGCTAGCTACCCTGAAGCACTGGCTGCATCAGAGAACAGTTAGCCTAAATCTAAAGTTCTTCAACTAAATCCAACACACCCTTTTACGAATTAAGAAAACTTCTAACATAAATTTACTTTTATTACTAGATGATAAGAACATTTAAAAATTTTAGTTATCCCATAATACTGTGATATATCTTCAGCAAGATTTAGAAAGCACTCTGACATGAAAAAATAGGATAAGCCATTATTCTATCAGGAGGGTATAATGTTGCTGACTGTTGTGCTACTATAAGAAGTAGTTCCTTCAGGTCCAAAAGAGAGATGCATATCAATTTAACAATTAGAGAACCATTACCATATCTCAGCTGTCCTGGAGTGGGTGGTAGAGCTTCCAATTTTTCTAAAGGGAAGAAAGGGTACGGAGCGAGAATTAGTTACGATTGTATAAAAACAGACTTACAAAATGGAAAAGTGGATTTAGGTTAGTAGAATCAAAGTTATTCATTTTAAACAATACTGGTATGAGACTAGGAACTAAACAGCTCTGGCCATATGCTGTGGGTCACACGAATGGTGTTCCCTTTTATCTAGGTCATGGTGTCATTATTCAAGGAGCCCATTTGCATCCATACAGTAGAAACACATTCTAGAAAATATGGAAACAAACGCTGGATGACTTAACAAGTACATACAAACTGATAGAGAGCAGAAAAAGCGACCACCCAAATACGCTTATACTTGTTCGATTATTTAGAGACAGAGTCTTGTTGCACAGCCCAGGTTGGTCTCCGATCCACAGTCTTCCTGCTTCCACATCCAAGTGCTGCTAAAATACCTGTGCCACCACAGCCACTCGGAAATTACATTTTAAAGGCAATGTCACTACAATAATGTTTTTACTGGATTGTATAATGTCTTCCAATTTATTCCGTGTAACAATACACTGAATTTTTGAATTTTCAAAGCTATACTACTGGAATCAGTAGTCTACACTCTAGAACAAACAAACAAAAAAACCTAAAAAGACATAGTGTTTTTACCTAAAATAGCAAATAATAATAATATGCTACTTATAACATATGGCAGAGAGTTCATCTTTAATCAAAAAAATGAAAGGCAATAGGTAATATATGACAAAGTTTTTCCAAGTATTAACAAAAGTATCATGTCTGTCATGTAAAAATTTATAATTATCACAAAATGATTATAACAAATAATTATAACAAATAAGCAAATAGAACATCTCAGCATCTGTGAAAGTTGAAAAGGTTAATAATTCCATCATCAGTACATATCTTGGTAACTCAGAGGAGAGCTGTATAAATGTGTTCTCCAGCAGACACCTATGCAGAAAGCTTGGTTTCCTGTGTAGCTGGGTTCAGAGGTGGGGCTTTGGGGAAGTGCTAGATCACTGTGGCCCTGACTTTATCAATGGATTCATCGTTTACAAGATGGTAGAATTGTGGAATTATTGGGAGGTGGTGGAAAGGAGGGTATAGGTTCTAACTGGAAGACATGCTTGGAAAGATACACCTTCTTTGTGCCCAGCCCCTTCCAGTCTGTTTCCTAGGCACCATGGGTGAGCAGCTTTGCTCCTTGCCCTTCTGCCATAATGATCCGCATCACCACCCAGAAACAACAGGGCCAACCCATTACAGACTGAACTACTCGAAACCGTGAGCCCTTAAAGATTGTCTTTTGGTCTTTGTGTGTGTGTGTGTGTGTGTGTGTGTGTGTGTGTGTGTGTGTCTGGTCACAGCAATGAATAGCTGTGGTTTATGTATTTTGGAGAAATATTTTCCATCACATTTTAAGAACAGAATAATACTAAAAACAAAGCCTAACAAATAAAAGTGAACATAAAGTTGAAGGCTAGAGATCTAGCTCAGAGCTAGAGTGTTTATGTGTCAGGTACAAAGTTGTAGGTTCAATCCTTGAAACCAAAGGAAGGGAGAAAAATTGAAAATTACAGTCCAACTTCTTTCATGGGCACATTTGTAATAAAACAAATACTAAAGTAATTGAATGTCAAGAAACTAATTTCTGAAAATGTAATTAATAAAGGGGGCTGGAGAGATGGCTCAGTGATTAAGAGCACTGGCTGCTGCTCCAGATGGGTTCAATTCTCAGCACCTGTAACTCCAGTCCCCTGGGTTCTGACAACCTCTTCAGACCTCGGCAGGAACTGAATAGACATAGCCGGCAGGCATGAATGTAAGCAAAACACCCATACACATTTAAAAAAAAAAAAAAAAAACTTGATTTTTAAATGTAACAAAAGATGAAAAATCCCAGTTTTCTACACGACCAAAATAAACCAGAAAACCAGGATATCTTGTAAAATACTGCAACCACCTAAGGAATAGTTCATTTTTATTCCTTGATGACTGAAATACTGTACCACAGTAAAACCCCCACTGTGAAGCTGAGTTCCTGTTTATCTAGGAAATGTAACATTGAGAGGGTCTAGTATATACCACAGGTGGGTCTGAGAAGAACATCCCCCTCCAACCCAGGCCCTTTTGAATTTGTTACAAAACATGTAAGCTTTAAACTCCATTCGTGTAAAGAAAATGGCAAGTTAAATAAGAACGAAATAAAAAAACAAAAAGATAAGGAAAAATGTAGAAGTTTTTTAAAAAATAATAATAGAGATTTGATGTCAAACAGATTAAACAAACAAACAAAAGCCCCGGGCCACACAGGAAGCAGAGCCTGAGGCTCCAGTGTTGGAGCACAGGTTTTCAGGCCCTCCAACCTTCTGCTTTGTTGCTCAGCCACACAGAAGTCTCTAGGCATTGGGTTAACCACTGACTGACAGACAGACATACAGCACAGTGCCAATCACCCCGAGAAAGCAGAGAATCATCCAAGGTGTACTCACACCTTGCTTGCCACTAAAGGTTCCAGGACCCCTTGGTTATATTCTAAAAAATTCACGCTGAATCCTTAGCCAACTGTTTAGTTGTTTTTTCTTCCGTGTCTAACGAGGCATCTGGTGGGAAAGGAAATGACTAACTGTAGGATGATACTAATAAACTGAATTCCAGCTAATTAGGTTTTCATTTTTACTACACTGGAAAATATCCAAAAGGCTTTTTCATTGGTGGAAGCTCTTCCAGGAGTGTAGTGGTTCCTCCTTTAATCTCTGTGGTGCTCAGTGAGCACAGTGGACCTGAGTTCAAGGCCAGCCAGGGCTACATAGTGATACCCTGTCTCAAATAACAAAACAAAACCAGGCATGATGACATGCACCTTTAATCCCAGCACTCTGGAGGCAGAGGCAGGTGGATCTCAGTGAGTTCTAGGCCATCCATGGCTATGTAGAGAGACCCTGTCTCAAGAAAACAAAAATAAAAGCCAAAAGACACATACCATACTGAGGACAGTAATCCTAGATCTGATCTTGCACTATTGAAGAAATTCTATGACCTAACCACTGTAAAGTAAATATTTCCACTTTAGAGCTCATGTTTGCTTCAATCCTAGGATACTCCTGCCAGATTTTACCCATAACTCACAGCTGAAATGTGACTTACATTAAACTTTACAAAAATTCAGATTATGGAAGAAAATCAAGTGACATTGTACTCTACAGGCACAGAGCCGTCTGTGAGGAGGCAGGCTGTGTGTGTGTCAGTTCAGGTCAGAGGCTCCTGGAAGCCTGAGATGACAGGATGAGCTAGCTCTGCTGCAGTACCTGATAGAAAGTCTGGCTTATCACTCACAGGGGACACTTTAAGAACAGACTGGAGAACAAAAAGACTAATGTCAATCATTACTATTTGGTGGAAGAAAAAAAAAAAAAACACTAACAGCTTTTAGAACAACAAACAAAAGAGCTGAAACTTTAACAGCCTTCTCCCGACTTTCACTGCACTAGCAGGGGTGGACTTACTTCCCTGCGATAAAGCAAAGCAGGAACTAAGCCTTCCCCTAAGAGTCTACCTGAGAACACAAGTCCCTGGGGGCTCAGTGCTCAACCTCGGACAAGGGAGAGGAGACGGATTCTCAAAGAGAAAAAAATGACAGAGTTGGAGGCACTGTTTTCTCTCAAGGAAGCAAAGCCAATCCCCCTAACACACATATGTAAAATATTTTCCCTTATTGGTAAGGCAATATTTCCCTTCCTTACTTTGATATAACAACACTTAGCTGTTTTACACAATCAAAATATGTACATGTGATTTCTGTTACTTATAACAAGACATATCACATTTCTAATATTGCTTTTGCCCCTGAAATCATTATTAGCTACTAAATCTGTGATGTGTCACAATCACCAAGAAAGAGGTTTGAAACCAACAAAAAAAAAAACACGGTTGAGTAAAACCCAGGTTTCTCCAATCTTATTTTTGCTATGTCTTTCATGAGATAACATTTTTTCATAGTGAAGAGAAATCAATTTTATGTATGAAACCATCAAAACCTTACCCTACTTGAGGAAACAATTTTCTGACAGCAAATTTCCAAAACAATCTTTTCCAGTGACAAAAGCCCATATGCCTTACTACTGATTTCAAAGACAAATAAAAGTCAGAAAAATTTGTACTCACAGCAAAATTATTAGTAAAATAAACTACACAAAAACAAATTATAGTATATTATCTGATAATATTATCTGGAAAAGGGGAAACAGTACTTGTTTATGTCCCATCTGCCTTAGCCAATGTGATTTTACAACAAAATTCATTAATTTTTGAATCTGAGCTTTTCTATCTATTAACTTAGACAAATGTACAGCAGATTAATTCTTTATTGGAAACTTTAATTAGTTGTTGATTTTTCATACTTAGGATTCCATACCTAAGTCTCTTGTGTTCCTCAGAAAAGTCATTAAGTAGTGTTTCTTTGTGGTGTTCTTAAACCCAAAATAAAAGCAAGACATACATTTAAAGACTGCTTGGAAGCTATAAAATGTCTCCTAACAAGCCCCACCATGCTGCTTTCCTGCCCCGTTTCTTGGGATGGAGGTCAGGCTTTGCTGCCCAGGCTAGACTGGAACCAGTGGCCCTCTGGCTTCAACCATTCAAGGGTTGCAGCTTCAGGGGTGCCAAGAATGCAGCTTGCATTTCAGGTCAAACTCTATGAAAACATTTTCATGTTTTGAGATGTAGATACAATACAAGTAAGAAAGAAATTTGTTTCTTTTAAATGACAAGATAAGAAAAAAAAAAACGGATAAGCCTGAGTTTCCTGTAGGACTTAATCGATATATCTCTTCTTTACCATATTTTCCTTTAAAGATAATTTTATCAATATCAATAAAATTTATAGAATAATTCTTAGAGTAGGCTATGCTTGTTGGTGTGTTTCTTTTCTAATTCTTCTACAGGATAGATTTTAAATTGAATCAAAAGACTGTAATAGAAGTGTAAGTGAGGCAGCTATAATTTCCAT